ACAACACACCTCTTTGTTTAAAAAAAAATTCATAGTCCGATAACAGATGATTCAATTTACTACTATTAATGATTATTATTCGAACATTGACTCTGATACCATTTTAGAAATGATGAGATACCTAATTTAATCCTACAAAATCGATTTAAGAAGATAAAAATTATATTCACATATATATTGTTATCTTATCGTATCTGTACCTCAACAGAAATATTTAAATATTTATTTTAAAAAACCATTTTTTTATCTCAAATAGTAAATTTACCAGATTAAAGTCTTATTATTTCACAATTGAGATTTTGTTTTTTAAATTTGTCCTGGATTAACTGAAATGTACATAAGTCTTTGTGTTTTAAAACTGAATTAACTGGTTTCCATGTGAGGTGAGTTTAGGTTGAATATCTAAACCTAACTAATCCATGGATGGTTGCATAGCATAGTTAACTACTTGCTTTATTTTCTCTCCTCCATTATGGAAGGGAAAAGCCACCACACACACACACACACCAACTTATCAATTATTTTTTCGCAACTCTTTTTCCATGTGAAGGATGCATTCTTTCAAATTTAATTCTACCTTTTCCACTACTTATTCTTCTCAAGATTTTTTTTCACTGTCATTAAATAAGTGCACACAAAAATTAAACACTTATTTATTCAAGGTCAACTATAGTGTAATTAATTAGATACGATTTCAACATTAATATTAGTTATTATACATTAGTTATAACTTGAATGTTATTATACGTTAGTACCAATATTCTGATTGTTTCGGTGTTGTGGGTTCAAAAGTTGTTTGATTTCTGACCTTTTAGTCGATGTTTTTATATGATCAATATTTTAAGATGAAAGAAAGTAAATGAAGCATTTTTAAGATCAATACTTTACTTTATGATTGATGTTCAAGTGACTGTTTTTAGTAGTGTCTTATTTTTAGTTTGTATATATTTTTTATTTGAAAGACTTAACAGGTATATCTTATTTAAAGAGATTGAATCATATATCATCTCCATAAATATCCTTAAAAGACTTTTGGCAACTCTATTTGTATAAAACACATTTTTTTTAAAGTTGATATTTTATATATTGTTATTAATTCTAAATACATTTTTGAAATTTATCAAGCACTTAAGATTTAACATAGATTTATGCTAAAAAGAAAATAAGCATGTTTATAGGATACACAAGGTCACAACTTGTTAAAATCATATAATTTTCAAATCTTTAAGATTGTTTTGTGAAAAATGTCTTATTTTATTATTATTTTTTCTATTACAACTTCGCTACGTTCTTTATTTACACATTTGGTTCAACATTTTGAAATGAGAGAAATGGAGAAAGTTTGTGTAAGTGATGACAATTGATTCATCTTTGGGTCATTAATGGTAGATGTAATGATAAAAGATGCATACCCTTGAAATATGACTGCATGCTTTAATGAATTCATACACTCTAAAATTCAACATAGGTAATGGCGACAAAAGTGTAGTTTAGGGTTTACTTTCCCTTATTTACATTTAATGAAATAAAAAATAATAATGGGTGAGGACCAATAAAAAAAAAAAAAAAACTTTTTTCATGTAATATTTAAGGTATGTTTGAATGAGTTTTAAGTAAACTCGCATAGAAGAGAAAAATAATAAAAAGAAATAAATTTATTTTTTTCATAAATTAAAATAAGTTAACATATAAGTTAAACTTAAAAGTCTGGAGAAAGATATAATATCTAATTTATAAGATAAATCTATAGTTCATGAAAGATATTAATTTCATTTTTTTTATCTCGTCGAAAGACCTTACGAAGAAACTTGTTTACTTATGAAATAGCTTTAAATAATATTTTAAGATTTAGAAAAATTTTGGCAATTCAATAAAGTTAATAGTAAAGATATAGATTTCACTACCGTGTAAAAGACATCGTAAGTACCCTAAAATACCTCAAGAATATAAATTTCTTACGGAATAAAAGGTTAATTTTTTTATTCTAATTTCTAACATGACTAGAAATTCTAAAAAAAAAATAAGAAAGATGAAGAACATATAAATAAAAAATAATTATAAATTTATAAATTTAAAATTATGAATTAAAAATTAATACTATATTTTTTATATAATTATTTTTAATCTATTTATAACTATTTTTCGATATTTTCACGTATATATTTAATAATAATAGTGTTAGAATTTTAATTTTTTTAATATATAATAATAATAATAATAATAATAATAATAATAATAATAATAATAATAATAATAATAATAAAAGTAAAATAAACAAATAGCATAAACAATAGAAGTTAGATTGTAAAAATAAAGTTGAGATACATGAAATAACTTCTTAGTAAAAAAATAGAAATATTAACAGGATCGTAAATGACTAATAGTAATGAACTAATTAATTGTAGATAGTAAAAGTTTAGGGTTTACTTGTAATGCTATTTCAATACCTTTATTATCAACCTTAAAATTTTAGAAAATGAAAAAAAAATTTGTTAAATTGAATTATAGCGTTTAAATTTAATTGCACAAACCTAAATATTGGTTAACTGAAAGTTTATAAGTTATAAATGAGAGTTGAAAACCTATAAATTAGTGTGTTGGATAAGTAAGTCAAAGTAAATAATAAACTACTTATGTGACTTACCAAATACATCATTTAATTTGTAGGTAAACCAAATCTTTTAGGTAAGAATAACAATAATTAATTTCAACTTAAATTAAAATAGATGATCTAGATGAAAATACTATTACTTATAATGTGATTATCAAATATTTAATAAATTTACCAAATAAAGTTATATTTCAATTATTACATTTTTAAATATTTTAATTATCTTGTTTAACATTCATAATTCATCATTATCATTAGCATAATAATGATATAGCTAAGGTTTCATTATAAATGATGAACGATCTCTTTACAGCAACGTCAATAAGAAAACAGCAAAATGCAGGAAAACTTATTTTCAACAATCAGATTAGACAAATCTTCCACACGTCATTCCTTAATTAGTAATCTTCATAATTTAATTAGTTTTCGATTATTGCTTATCTAATATCAGCGCTCCTTCGTTTAATTTATTTCTGTAATTGTAGGTTTCAGGATTTGATTATGATGATTCGGAACAAAAATTTAAACACGGAACTGAGATCATTTAGCACCTGTATACTGTTTCTAGTTTATTTGGACAAGAAATTAATTAAATGTTGGCAAACATTACCTTAATAACTCAGATTAGGACAAACAAAGTTAAGAGACTTACATTGCATCTTGAACAAGTTAATACTTAATCTTTATTTCTCTCTCACCGCCAAAAGTCAAGACCGTTTGAGCTACATATAGTAGTTTCACTCAGCATATATTCGGGTATGATGAATGTTCATTTCCAAATTGTGTATATGATTGAAATTATGCTGGTCTTAGAATGCATGAAATCTAAATTTGTGGCTGAGGAGATCGATGGCTAGTATATAGACACAGTATGCCCTATGCCCCACACCTTAAAAGTTTCTGTATCAATGAGTGCCAGTAGACACCACGACTAACACAACTCGTCTAATAGCCAGTGACCACAACCAGAACTACTCAGTGAATTGCCGCCAAACCAAGTCATTTGTCATAGAGCATAGCACTAGCCACTTGCCACCACAAACCATAATGAGGGCACCGCTATTCAAGGATAAAATGTGATTGAAGACGAAGCATATCCCCTCCTATACACCCTTATTAAAAATGCTACCACCTAGCTGATGTCACCATTAATTGCATATTGGATCCAATTTGAACAGACATTTAGGTTACACCAACAAATTGTTGCTTATTCGTTTGGATGCTTTGAAATATACGCCAAACCAAAAACAAATAGCCTAATGAATCAGACACAAACCAAAAGCCATTAATCAGATGTAAGCGCCATGAATGAACTCGATAGTTAATGACTTTCATTGCTACAGCATGAGCCCAAGCGCCATCCTATTATCGACAAACCCACAAACTTTTCAAATAATTGCGGTTGGAGTTTCTGGCGGTGTGTGTGCGCCAATGTAATGTCGTCATGGTTGTGACACTGAGTAGAGGAGGATTTTTGTGACAATGTAAAGTCTCTAGCATTTTCATTGAGGGTGACACAAACCATATTAAAGGATGATTTTACTGAAGAGACGAAAATAACATGAAAAGAAATACATGACCAAATTTTTAAAACAGGAAATAAAGTTGAGGTAAAGGAAATCTTAGATATTTCCCACATAAAAAACAAGTAAAAAAAAAAAACATTATAAATGTTTTGTAGTTATGATATTACTACACACATTACTCTAATGTTTACAGTTATGCATAACTTTGATCCGTAAATATTTAATCCCAATTACACACACTCTAATTCCTATACGTAATGGAAAAGGGTAATACAATATTTCCTGCATACACTACCTTTAACATGCCGCCCGAGCCAGAACGCAAGTTTCAGCTCCGCGTGTTACTTTTAGATATAAATATATATATATATAAATATATATATATATATATATATATATATATATATATATATATATATATATATATATATATATATATATATATATATATATATATATATATAGTTTACGAAAAGGCGCCCAAATGTTCTCTGCTAGTAGCGCAGTAGAGAAATGAACGGAACTGCAAATCTAATTCATTATACATGCTTAATATTTTACATTCTGCAATTTTTTTTTGTATAAACTGACAGGGATAAAGCATGATTCACTATGGCTTCCGTCGGTACCAAACATGATCCACAATGACCAATGCCAATGAAAAATTATTATGCTGGATTATGCATAACTTAAATAGCTTCGTTTTCTTATTAGAAGAACAATGTGGATGGGAAGGGCATTTGCTCGCCGTATTAGGCATAGCTCTTGCTAGACCTCCCGGCACCATTAGTCCATCCTGCAAACCTCATTTTAATCATGCAATCTAAGCAAAAGCGTTGAAATAAATAGGATAGACTCCCTTGCTAGCTTCGCCTGTCAAAAAGTGGAAGGGGGAAAAAGTTAAACACATTTCTTGAGACTTCAACCAAAGCAATATTAAAATTTTAAGTTAAATATGTATTTTGTCCTAAATTTAATTTTAATTAAAGAAATTATCATTAAATATTAAATTTAAATATAAAGAATAATTAAAATGACATTTTTAAAAATTAAAAACTGAACTCATCAATTTAAAATTACAAAGACAACAAAAAATATATATACAAATAGAAAACATTTTTCTCTAAATTTTTTTATCTCGTGATACCTGTGTAAATAAGGTGCCAGCTCATCTCCAGGCACATTCCTTGTAACTTTGACAAAGTAAAAGAAGGATAACACTGCTGGGAGATTAAGGGACCTGGGCTCCTAAAGCCATGTAACTTTTTCATATCTACACCATTCAAACCAATTCACTAGTTGAAACACCATTAACATTGTGCAAAATTTGGCCTTCTCAAAATATTCCTGAATTATCAACTTTCATGATAAAAATAGTTCTTGGGATTCCATTGGAGATGTCCAATACCGCAGCAGTGCTTCTACAGTTAACCTTCGAGTGGCACTGAGCATTGAGATGAAAAACCTACAACCATCTATTTTATACTCTTCAAGAGGATTTCTATGGCCAAAGCTCCTAATGTTCACCTGCCACAACTCTGAGATAAGCCTTTAGCTGTTAAAAGAGACAAATATTTACAGGAGCAAAAGGACATATTACCGCAGAGCTGAGTCTGTTCATGTTTACAAGATGATCTCTCCAGAAACAATCGAGAGTTTGCAAAAGAACGGCTCTCTGTAATTCAAAAAATATTAAATATAATAAATATTTTTTTTAAGATAAAGAAACTGAAAACTCCCTAGAGATGGGTGAACACGCAGCAACTAGAACACAGTGAGCCAAAACAGATAGTAGAAAACAACAATCTTGTAATGCATATGTTTGGTATCAATGCAAAATTTACCATTTGGACAAAACACATCAAAGGTTCTCCAAATTAGCAAAGAAAGGAGCGCCATGTTCATGTACAGATCCCCTTAAATCAGTAGAAAGGGAGGAAAATTTATCACAGCAAAAAACAGTATCTAATACTAATTAATTACTAAACCATTGGGTCATTGGGATAATTTTATTCATCAGTTCTGTTGCAAGACTCAATATTTCCTTTTCTACTTTAAAGCATAGGCGATGAATGTGTATGATGGTAGTGTAAATCTAATATCACCAATTAATTGCCAACAATCAAATTTCAGTGTTTGACTGTGGATGCTTAGGGTAAAAAAACAGTAGGTAATACTGATGAGCAAATGCTGTAAAACCTTAGGCACACTCACTTCTATGGGCTCTATGTTAATATCCTTCCTAGGTTATTATATATCAAATAGCTCTAGAATCTATTTTCAATTTTTCATTGCCTAGTTGCAGTTGATAATACATTGGGTCTGTTTGCACAAACTTATCTTGAACCACTTCTAGAAGAAAAATTAAGTTTGTCCATGATCTTAAATTAGCTTATGCATGAGTTGAAAATAATATTTTAGATAAGCTCTAGGAGAAAGTTTAAAAAATTAATATGTGCATAAGCTAGTTTTAGCTTATTTATTTCCAATTTTCTTCTTAGTTTTTTTTTCCTACTAAAATTGTTATGAATAATCTTCATATAGAACATACTCCACCCGGTCCTTAATATAAGGCATAATTTAAAAGAAATAGGTGGTACTTTATGTAAAGCACTTTATACTTTCTATGAAACATTAAATTCCTTTTTCTTGTTTGCTCCTATTAAACATTAAGAACATGTGTTTGTTTTATTAATAAATATGAAAAAGAAAAAATTATAAGTCATTAATAATGAGAGTAAATTTGGTAAAAAATTCAATAAAATCAACTGAATTAATTACTTTTATTAGTCTATGTGATTATGTTAGAAGTGAACTATATTTAGGAACGGAGGGAGTAATGTTTTGATGCTTGTTCTTGATTTTGAAATCATTGGATACAATTGCACTGAAATGAAATAATTCGTGTATGGTACTTGCACTACTTTCTGTATGAATGCAGCTTTTCTTTTGCGTTAGACGGCAACCAAATTTTCAATTACAAGAAAAAACAGTAGAATAAAAATCTAACCTCAATTTCCTTTGCATGTCTCTCATCATAACCAGACTCTTCAACAACATTTAAATATGAAGCAATTAGAAAATCTCCAAGATACTTGCGCAGGAGATTAGAAGTTGTTTGATACTTCCCATTCCTACATTATGCTTACAGTCAGTGAGTACTAGAACTCCATTAAACTTCCACAATTCATAGTAAATCAAGTAACTTACCCAATTAAATCATCCGTGCAAATAGCAAGCCATCGTCTTAACGAAGAGCTCTTCCTGCGTATTCCCCTGAAGGCATTTGGTGCTGCTGGCAAATTTGGAAGGGAAAAGTTTACAATATCAACTGAACTCGTATCATTCAGTAGCCCAAGTGAATTTAGCAAAGTTTGATCACTAATTCCTTCAAAAGATTCTGCCAGAAACCATTTGAGCGTATCATTAGAAATAGTAAAGTTGATTGAGCCAAACACAGAAAATGAAGAGGTCGATATATTTGTGCAGATGAAATTGAATGGCATATTTGTAGCAAACATTCCTACCATGCAACAGCTTTCCACCAACACTAACGAATTCTTTCAAGAGCTTACTCAAACCCCAGCTACGTGGATGCTACAAAATCCATTCAAAGCAATAGATTAAAGGAATTAGAGGATAGAAATATACAACATGCTAGAGGAAAAGCAAAACCACCTTCAATGGATTAATATTATTGAAGACAATCTCGTCAACCACTGCTTGCATGTACCTATAAGCAGTCACACAAATCTAAGAAAGAAGGGAGAAAGAACAGTAGAAAAGGAAATATAACTACATAAGAATAAACCTCAACCACAAAAAGTGAACAAAAGTCAGTGACTCCTATTCCAATCTAAACAGTCAACACCCTTGTAAGTAAAAACACTCAAGATAATTCGGCATGCTTTTCTAGTCACAGATCAAGATCATTAACAGTTTTTTTTTTTTTTTCTGGTATAAATGATTAATACTATATGTCATAACTTAAGCAGAAAGAAAAGGCCCAAGACTGTTAACTCTTCTGTGTCTCATCTCAGAGCAGTGCTTTAAGTGATACTTTATAATTCATATTTTATATTACTTATTGAGAGCCCCAATAACTCAGACTCTGAAGGTAAAGTTATTATTCATATCATAGTATCGAGACAGTGTTAATAGTGCAGGGTTAGAACTTGGTGTTTTTAATGATTACAGCAAATTATAATTAGGATAGTGCAAAAATCAAGCCTAGAGTGTGACAATGTAGGTGGTCAACAGTGGATCTAGAATATTACTTTTAAGGTAAGAAGTGTTCAAGCTTTATAAACACTACTTATGTCATCTCTCCTGTTGATACGGAACTAAACACTACTATTGATGTTTGAATTAATGAAATCTCCAAAAAGGCCGCAACTAAGGTGGATTAAAGGTAACCGCTATTAAAGCTTCTTCCCAGTAACCGGGGATAGACATTATCTAATGGGATAGGCACAAGACAGTAGGCAACTAGGCACTATAGATTTTGAAGAAGGTTTGCAGTGAAACTATGGGTCTAACCATGTGCTATATACAGTATTGATTACAGATCAGAATCATCTACTAATTTAGATCTAATTAATATTTAAAATCACCTACAAGGAAGTAATAATAACTTAAACTACTCATCATATATTTGCTTAAATATAACATTCAATTCTAACAGGCACTTACTGGAGTATGTGTTGAGAACAACTTTCATCATCTCCTGTTAAGATTAATTGTCTTAGATCATAAACATGCTTTCGTTGCACCTTATAAAATCATAAGACAAAACAAATTAGTTGATAATGATTTTGCAGACTTCAAGATAAATTCAACAATTCCGTTCTAGATGATAGATGGGTGCAATTCTACTCAAGGACAAACGAGCATGCTCTTCTACTTTTAAGTTTAATCTAACAAGTATTTTAAAAGATTTGAGAAGATATATTTGAATGAAGTTTTCCTTTCTACTCTACAGCTTAAACATTCATGACTGTGAATCAGATAAGTCCTCAGAAATTTATTTCTCAATTAATATTTTAATTATGATTTTGGTTACTTTATAAATTGGAGATGGCTCAAAAATTAGATTTTGCGAGAATAATTAGGGTATGTCCCTTTCTAAGATTTCTTTGTCCATCACTGCTTTCAAATATTTGTCTACTTTACAGAACATCTCCGCCTTACAGTAAAACCAAAAAACAATTTGAACCTCGTCAGAAAATTCGCTACTCTGCCCACTATTTATAGCAAGGTGTCGACAGCTCTAGGAGGTACAACAAGGTGTTACTCCAGTCCACTATCATGTGATTGTAAAGCTATATGTGCTATTATTGACTACTATGGATATAGCAAGTTATTCTTAATTATCAAAGTTCACCATGGAATAAAAGCCTATAAACTTTTCATTCCAGAAAGTATTCACAATTTCAGTTTTACATAGTTGAATCAATCTTGAATATGACAGCAAAAACTAATAGCATAATTTTGCAGGAATTTGTGTTTTAAAACATCTCTTCATAGTCGACACATACCTCCAATACTTCATCAAACTCAACAAGGTTCTTTCTTATACCAAAGAAGAACTTTTCTGCATTGATTTGCAGCGCCAAAAGCTATAAACATTTGATGTCCCAGTTAGCATTGGAAAGACGACATTCATCAGGCACACCATATGACAAACATATGAATAAAAACATGGGAAAAGAGACCACATGGAAAAGTAAGAATGTAAATGGAAGAAAAATCAATATTTTACTGTATTGGTTATAAAAAAAGAAATTTATCATGAAAAAGAGAAAGAAAAGAGAAGAAAAGCAGTGTTAAGGGCCTATTTGCTTCCTATTCTTGAAAACAGTTTTCTGTTTTTAAAAACAAGAAAAACAATCGTTTATTCGAATAGTTTATGAATATTGTTTTAAAAAGTAATACTTCTTTCAGTTGTTAAAATGAAGAAACTAGAAAATCCTCAAGTTGTACTGGTTTTTCTACTTTGGGTTTTCTATTACTCATGTACTTCTTTGCAGTATCCCATCTTCTTTCCCCCATTCCTACTATCTACAAATTTGTTTATAGTTTTTTGAAAACTGTTTTATAAAATAATTTTAAAAAACTAAAAAACAAGAACATGATCAAACACATCCTAAATTCTTCTTAGGCCAAATATTTACTTTTCAATAATAATAATGCAAATAATAAATAGACAATAACCTGCTTCACAATGGCATCACCCTCAATTGGCAGATCCTCATCATTTGTAATCTTTGAGATAAGTCTCACTGCCCATTCAGTATCAAAATTGAACTTTTGAAACATCTCATCCTGCAAGCTATAACATGATGAGAAAGTGTGAGAACTGGCTGCCAGCCCTTAATTAGCAAACCACACACCCAGTCATCGCACTCCCCTCAAAATACAGAGCTACAGAGCAAATAGTATTCAACAGTTCATCTCTAAAACTCAAGGTTCTTCCATTTAAGCAAAAAAATCAAGACACCAATCCAAATTTCTACATCAATAATTAAATAAAAAAGACAGCATATTATATTGATCACAACTGTTTTGTACATTGAAAGAAACTTCAAATTCACATACAAAAACATAAATTCTAATTTGAGCTTCCAATTCCTTTAAGACCATATGAACCAAAAAATTTGTCCTTGAAACAAAATTGTTGATTATCTGCTCTGAAATTATTAGGATATGTTAGAATATAAAATATACTATTTTCTCCCTCTGTATCTTCTTCTACACTAGCACAATCAATCCCTTCAGTTTGTTATTTCCAGCTGTCCCTTTTTGGTGATTCTGCTTTGTTTTTTGGTCCTTTTGCTTTCTAGGATAGCTATTATAAATTCTCCCCTTTGTATCAGGACAGAAATAATAAAACATTACATTCATTTCTCTTTTCTCCAAGAGAAATAGATCAGCAAATTTAGTAACAATTTCAACTAATAATAACTAACACTGTAATTTATATATACAGTTCTTTCATGCCATGGATAAACCAAATGCATTTGTATAATTTTTCCTCCATAAATGACATTCTCCATTAATTGTTGACAGTTACGTGCTCATATTTTCTTCCTAGAATGCATTTCTTTATTCACCATAACAGTAGTAGCAGAAGTGAGTAGTCTAATATTACTACCTGACCATAAATCGGGTTGATCCTGGATCCCCCTGTCTTCCTGCTCTGCCACGCAGCTAGAGAAAAGATTATTACAAGTTGAGTAACAAGATGTCAGAACAAAAGTACAAGAAATGATAATAATATATTTTTATTAATATATGGAGAAGAGATAATTTCTCCATCATTGATGTACTTATAATAGACGTAGAACCTCAGTATACTGTTCCAAACTCTAAAAGAAGCCCTCAGAATATCTTATTGGAGGCTTTAATATGCCTACGTCAAGGAATTACATTTTGATACCAAATTAACTATTCATGATTGAACAGTAACTGAATACAAAAATAAAGAAAAAAACTCCTTTAATAAACGGGTAACCGTTTAACAGGAAATTAGGAGAGTTAGTTAATTCAGTTTTCCCCAATAAATAATCCTCCTTTAGGTTCGGAAATATTGCTGTAAAACTAGACAGATTCCAGTGGAAACAGAGCAATTTCCTTTGGAGGGGTATTTCTATACCTTGGTTCTTGGTTTGTAATGTGTTTTCAGAAATAAAGAGAGGAAATTCAGCATTTTTTCTGTGTACTATTGTTTCTTGTTAGGCTTTAACATTTTCAATTATGAATAGACGATCCTAACAAGTACCCACCTGGTTATCTATTCTCCGGGACTCGTGTAAAGATGTACCAATCACATGAAGACCCCCAAGCCTTTTAACCTCAGAACCTTCATGTAAACAGTGTTCTTCACAATCCTTCAAAACTGACAGATAGGCAAGCGCTACACATGGACCAAGAGGGTAGATCTCAGATTCTTCATTAGCAAGCTTCTCCAGCTCTTCCAAACTATATGAAACATTCATTTCAATAGCCTCCAAGATAAAAGATTTAGCCTTCTGATACGTCCAACTTTTACCCTCACTTTTGGATACATATTTGGCTGAATAATTCATGTTACAGAGAATATAAAAACTTTCAAGTTAAAAAAGCATGTAATTATGACTAAAATGAACATAATTTATCTGAAATGAGAAAATCTCTCAACTAAAACCACGGACCCATTAAGGTTGTCTTAGCCAGTAAGGCCATTGAAGATGATCCAACCTTTATCTTTGGAAGCACCTACATCAAAATATTCATTATAAAACATAAAGGTTAAATAATGAAAATTAAAACACAGTAAGTAAAAGACAGAATTACCTTTTGTGAAATAGCTTCATCTGCAAGTTCAACATTAGGATCCTCTCGTGTCAAAAATGAAAGTAAGCTATCCTCTATAATTTCTCTGGCAAGCATCTATATAGACCAGGAAGAAAATGTATGATGAACTCACTTCCCAGATCCAACTCATGCCAAAGTGACATGTCAAATGGGTGGGTGGCATCTCAGTTGCACTTTATGTCTCTCTAATTCGGACTGCATGCGGTTTTGGATTCTCAATTTATTTATTTATTTTGAGCTAATTACATCTATCATTAAAATTAACCAAATTTGGCCACACATTGATTTCTTCTACTTCAAATGATTATTTCAATCTAAATATTTGGAGGTGTATAATGGAATTGGGATATGAAATATTTTGAAAGGTTAAAAATATGAAATTGAGTGGAAAATTAATGAAATTTGAAGAATTTTATAAGATATGAATCAGGGTTTGGAGAAGCGAAATTTAGGATCTTTTTATTTTTAAGTGAAATTGATATTTTGGTTGATGGGTTTTGTAAAAAAAGCAATTAAATCAATTCAATTTGTAAATATATAGTAGAAAAAGGAAATTTGAGGGGTTTGGGTAGAAATTGCTAACAAGGGAACCAAATTTTCTTAACTTTCAAATGGCTCAAAAAACCTTCAGACAAAAATCAGACAATCCAATTTAGAGGGACCATAAATGTAATTAAGCCAATAAAAAAACCACCTACTTATAAAAGCCAACAAATCGATCTCATTTTATTTCACATTTAGGCAGTCATAGACAAAGTATGCAAGGTTTCATATGGTTCTCAAGGACACTAGCCACAAATAAAAAAACTTATTGGCACACCTACTTTTGGATTTCCTCCAAGGATTATATCCGTGCCCCTGCCTGCCATATTTGTAGAGAGGGTAATGGCATGTTTCCGTCCTGCCTGTGCAACAACTTCAGCTTCTTTTGCAGCATACTGAATTAAATGACGGGGGAGGGAGCCAGTGAGGTTGGCAAAACTTTAAAAATGAACACTAAGTCATATGAAAAAAAAAAAAGACAGCATATGCTTCTGAAGATACCAACAATCTATACTTTCACAAACCTTGGGTCTAGCATTGAGAACATTATGAGGAATATTCCATTCCCTAAGAAGACCAGACAAAAGTTCTGAGTTTTCTACACTGCAATGGACAAAGAATGAAAAATAATAATTGTATAAAGTCACAAGACTCACAACTATAGAGAACGGAAAAGCTTATGTACAAACATATGTAATATATAGCCCATACAAGTAAGGATTCCAATGTAAATATTCGATGATGACAAGATACAATAGATAACTATGATGAGGAGGAGGAAAAAAGGTGGCTAAATCTAAACAAAGGTAGTTAAAGAAGAGCAACATTTAAACTAGACCACTGACAAGACATACACTAATGCCTAGACACGTAATCATAAAAAACTAAGCAAATTCAATTAATAATAATGTAACAAGAAAAGAAGATGGTTGTTATGAATCAAATATCCCAAAAGTTTATGTATGGGGTCACTATAAACACGGCCGTGGTCCTTTTTGGCTTGCCTTCTCAAGCAAAAGCAATTTTGGGCTGAAGCATGGACAAAGCTTAAGTTGTCAGCTGAAGTTTTCCCATTGCAACAACTACACCAACTAAAAGCTTAAACAGTCAGCAATAGACCTAACAATGGTTTATATCTCTAATAATGTAATAACTTGTTGCAAAAACTGTGCCACTATTGATGATTAAAAATTCATTTTTATTCAATTGATTGATTTTCTACTCAAAATTCAATATCATATAAGTATAAATTTTAGCCTGATCAATATTGAACTGAAGATAATAAGATATGGACACACTATAACACTAACAATGAGATTTATCCCAGTACATTGGGTTGGCAACATGGATTAATTATCAACAGTAACGCTATATAAAAATGAAATTTCCCAGTGAAGCAAATTCGAGGTTTATTCAATGTTTTCTCTTAACAATAAAAATACTTAGTTAATGTACAATTTGTAACAGTCATTATTAAAGAGTGTAATTCCTATTTATAAAAGAAACTTCATTAGAGCTAAAGAAGCATAAATTTGATGTATGACAACATATCCATTTTAAATGGTACAAAAAGACATGACAAGTAAGTTCAAGTAATAATATAAGCCTCCAAACCCTGTGCATATATCTGCCAACAAGATTCCCCTGAAGAAATGGTAAGCTTATATGAGAGGTCTTCCTTATTAAATTGTGCCCATCATATGTTTCAAACATCAGAGAATTAGGCTAAGAAGGATATTTCATAATGATAATTTGTTCTGAAAGAATACATGTTTCAGTGATAGACAATACCCATTGTAATAGCCATAATACTTACCTAGTTGTCCCAACTAAGACAGGCTGACCTTGTCGAAACATATATTCAACTTCTCGGCGAACTTGCTCCCATTTCCCACGAGCAGTCTTGAATAACATGTTAATAGAAAAATCATACAGTTAACAATTTATTGTCATGGAAAAATGATTGTATTGAAACTAGAGATACTAAAGAAGCAACAGTAACAAATATCAAATGTCATACAGCAAAAGCTTGAATTGGTAAATCTTTTCTAATATTAGGAAGATTTGTGGGCACTTCAATGACTGGCATCCGAAACATTTTTAAGAACTCTTTCTCCTGCAATGATATATATTGCCATCAAGATCTCAAAAGGACAAATTATAATAGTTATGACAACTTGAATGCAATGTCAGAACTATATAAATCTTTACTTCTGTTTTGGCAGTTCCAGTCATTCCTGACAACTTTGGATAGAGCTTGAATAATGACTGGTATGTGATCTGTGCCACAACAACAGAATCTGCCTGTGGATGTTTAAACATTGAAATTTAGAATCAATTAAGTATGATGAAAAGTGTCATGATAAAGAAAACAAAAATCAAATAACCCACATATATACCTGAATCTTCAAACCTTCCTTTGCCTCCACAGCCTGGTGAATTCCCTCAGACCATCTTCTTTTCTCTTCAACTCTTCCTGTAAGCTGAGAAATTTCCATAATTTGGTTTATTTCTCTATTACTCTAATTTTGTAATCTGCTCAAATCTCAAGAGAGCAGATGGAGACAGAAATTTATTCTATCACGAACATAGATTCTTGTCTCCACCCTTAAAGTCTATAAAGAACAAACCCCAAATTGCAGGGACATCTCAGCATCAAAATATCCTCTTATAAATCTATTCTATTGCCTTCCAAGGCAACCCCCTTAGTCCTCAAACACCCACAAAAACCATTCATTTTCATCTTTCTACCTCTTAGAATTTGGGTTTAGACATAAATCCGCTGAAAAGCTAGCTCATAAGGTGAGGATTGTCCCCACTTACATACAGTATTTTTTGGCCATATCACAAATCAATGTGAAATTTTGAAAGGACTAAGGTGTTATGGGATGCTTAAGTTTCATATTAAGTAAAATGAGATGCTCAGTGGAGTATTGAAGAGTTTGATTCTCTTCGCCTTAATAGCTGACTTTTGAAGGTGGATTCCTCAAATACTTGAGTGTTTATCAGATCTCTAACACATACCCTTCACACCAAAAATTGAACATCTCAAACATGAACTTTACATGTTTAGACATTAGTGAGTAGTCTAATAACAATCACTAGAATAAACACTAATGCTATAGATAATTCAACCCCAAAAACTAGTTCGTAAGGTGAGGTTGCCCTGACTTGCATACATTACTTTTTGCTATATCAATAGTCAATATGAGATCTAACACTACCCTTGGTTCATTAAAAAAAAACTAAACTAACCTGGGATATTTATATCATAAACCTTCCACTGTCCTAGATAACATAACAATGCGTTCCATGTAACAAGGCTGAAGCATGTCATCTTAGATAAAATTCAACTATCATGCCACAAATTTCATGAATTAGAAGCTCAATATCACCTCCAATTAGGTTTTAGATCATGTTTCCGGCTTAACAGAAAGGAAGCTTTAATGTGTGCACCCAGTGGGCAAGGGGGACAATCAATAGTCCATAGTACATTTTTTACAATTCGAAAGAGACCCTTAGGTTAACTCAGTTTCCACTGCATTTGTTTGAAATCAACATATCTCATACAAAGTGAATGCATATCAAGTAAATACTGCCAGTGAATTTAGGAGAAAAATGGACTATATTACCTTGTCAAATTTCAGAGTACAAGAAATACAAGCTTGTAAAGCAAAATATACTAATTGTATGTATATATTCAGTTCAATTTTTTAAAAATATATCCTCTAGGATCAGTGGATACATTTTTCTCAACTTCAACTGATTGATTGTAGACATTGAACCGCCACTCTGAATCTTTAAAAGCAAAGCACCTTATTGTAGCCAAAAGAGTTTCTTCTAAGATGAATTTTTAAAAGCAAAAGAACTGACATGTGGCCAAGATTCACAACACATAACTAATGTTTGTCCTACAAATGTAACGAGCAAGTTTTAGGAGTATCCGAGTGTATAGTTTAACTAAATGAAGAATGAAATTTCTATTAGTGAAGTTTAATGGTTATAAATAAAAAAACTTAATTATTCAACCTGCATTTTATAAAAACTACATCTCTCTAAAACATTAAATCCCCTATCTTCTCTCTAAATTTTTTAACTCCGCATTCATTTTTTCCCGATCAGATCACACCACCTAGAAGATGGTGAAAAATAGAACAATTCTACTGGGACAGTTTTCGATTTGGGTAAGTTTTATTTTCTCCTCTGTTCTCTTTGCTGTTTTGGACTAGCAGCTTGCATGTGCATAGGGTTTGACACTTGTCAGATTTTTGGGAAAATGATAAATCTTTGATAGGCTAAGTAGTTAAAGTTATTGTTTGGAGCTATGAAACTCCTAGTGGAATGAGAATTGATACAATTTTGACCTAGTTCAAGTGTGTCATCAAAATGCTCAAGTGACAAGCCTACTCACTCATGCGATCTACCATCATTCAAGCGAGGAACAACTCGAGAGAATTGGGTTGACCTTTTGTAAAATGTCACTCAAGCCCCATGATGGTCACTCAAGCAAAACTCCCCCGATATGATGAGTTATGTTATATGCTTAAATTGATTCATGAAGTTTGACAAAGGCATACATGTTCCATAAATGATGAGTTATGTTGAATGAATAAATGTTACATCAAATATCCAGTTTTAAAATTTAAAAATCTACTAAATTCAGAGCCAAGTAGGAGAATTAACTTCATTTATCCATTAACCTTGCATTGACAACCGGAATGCCCTACAAAAAGTCATGTTACTCGTGTTTCTATGTTGTGTCCTACAATACATTTGTTCCAATTTGGTGTGTCCCTCTGTCATGTTATGTTGCTAGTCTTTGCTTTCATAAGTAACTAAATGGTGCAAAATATTTAAAGCAAAAGAAGCTTTAAAAGTATTACCTCATTGATAATCAAAGCCTTCCCATCTCTGACAATGTATTGCACATCTCGACGATAGAATTCTTTAGCTTTTATAGCATTCATCACAAATCTGCAGTAATTCAAATCTTACTACTCATGTAACTAATTGTACAGGAATTTCCAATTCCAACATGGTAGCCAGAAACTTCACATAAAGCAGCCAGTATTAAATAAATATAACAATGATGATTATGATAAATTAGTCTAAATCTCTAGCAATGTATGCAGCCAAAAAATCATGATTACAAATATAAGTTTTGAAATAGAGAAAAATTAAAGCATGTGGCCTTTTTACAGGGGTGTCATTTACATAGATGTTGAGGGATCAAGTGGTTTTACCATAATTTTCCTTGCTGTTTTGTTTTCATATTATTTTCTCTTTTTTAAGGACTTCTTATCTTATCCTCCTTTCCCTTTGTAATATTAATATTTTTTTACTGAATAAATTTATTTTTTTATCATTAAAAAAGAAAAGGAAAAATTTGAATTTCTATTTTACTGTTTAGCAGGTTATTGTGAATTTGTTATGTTTTAATGTGATACCACTCATAAAAAAGAGAGAGCATAGTAGAAAAAATCAATAAAGATATGCTGACATTAATGTCAACCTACTTTTCGCCAAACATACATTGGGATTACAAAACAAGTAAACACCAACCAAACTGAAATGAACATTCCTTAATTTAACAAATTATTAAAGTATATAAGAATATTCACCTGGCCCAGGGATCATTTTCATCCCAAAGGTCATTAGTTTCTAGAGCCATTTCAGCAAGAGAAATTCCTTCCTCAGTCAACTCCACAGAATTATCTTTAAGCTCCACTTTGTAATGCTGTTAATAAAATAAAATCAGTGTACATAATTATCTACATAAGCTGGTCAAAATGGAAAAAGGGAGAAAAACAGTGTAAATGACATAATGCAGTGCACGAGAATGTACTAACAATGCCCTGTATAAGCAGTTCAGCTACTTTTGCAGCAACAGGGAACCGTGCTGCATCTTTACTAGCCTGTGATAAAGAAGCAGAAGCAAGCCATTTATCATTGAACTTCAGCAGTTGAAATAATTTTTTAAATAATGCCAGCCTGGGTACGGAAGAAGAGGGTAATCATGATTTAGGGGTACCACAAGACGCAAAAATAAAAATGAATATGAAGCTCACCTCACCACTGATTAACAAAGGATTTCTTCCCTCGTCAATTAAGACAGAATCCACTTCATCAACGATACCAAAATGAAAGGGCTTTGGCCTGCTTTCATGTAGAATAGTCACAAGTAACCAAACATATTCCAAACCAAAAGAAAAAGAAGAAAACAACTTAGTTCTACCCAAGTAATACACACTACCATCTCATTACAAGTTGTTCACGATTTCCAGCAAGATTATCTCGCAGGTAATCAAAGCCAAGTTCCTAAGGTAAGAAAGGGAAAAAAAGGAAGAAAATAAAATAACATAAGTAAAAAAATAAATGTAAAACTAAAAGAAGCAATATAAGCAACTGACAAGTGTAATTACTGAATTATTAGTATATGTTATATCACATCTATAGTTCATTCTCCGTTCTTCAGCATTCATTCCTCTCTGTGCATGCAAACATCAGATAACAAAGTTAAAAGAAGGTCATGCAATGCTTTTCATAAATTAATTAACAAAAAGCTTCATACTAGACCCAGTCGATTTGAACATTACATCATTAAAACATGTGTTCTAATCTATCACACCACCAAAAACATAGTAGATGAAATCAAATTTTACCATCAGCAGAGAAAAATTACCCGAATAAGACCGACGGAGAGACCTAAGAAACGATGAACTCGTCCCATCCATTCAGCGTCACGTTGAGCTAAGTAATCATTAACAGTTACCACTGCAAAAAAAATCAAGAATTAGAGAAATTTATTTTTCGGAAAGCCAAGTGCTGGCACCTGAAGAAATTCCCCAGGATATTCAAGCTTCTATAGTGTTGGCAGTAACACAGACCATGAACACCCTCAGAGGTCAGGGCATTTAGATAAGCAGCTAGGGTGGAAACCAAGGTTTTACCCTCCCCGGTTTTCATCTCAGCAATGGAACCATCATGCAGCACTGCCCCACCAATAATCTAAGACCAACAAAATTCATCACTCAGTCACCTAGTAGTGAGTAAGCCCAAGCCAGTCATGCAAAATGCATATTATAAAAGATACACATGCAAGACATTGATAGAATGAGACCTGAACATCGAAATGGCGCATTCCCAGCTTTCTCCATGCAGCTTCACGAACAACAGCGAACGCCTCTGAAATATTAATCATAATTCAATCACAAACACAGTTCAGAGACTAATCGAGCAATGATGCAACAGCGTAAAAGAGTAGCGAACCAGCTTGAATGTCGGCAAGGGTGGCCCCTCGCGCGAGCCGGCGGCGAAACTCGGCGGTTTTCGCGGCCAGTTGTTCATCGGAGAGCGCCTTAATCTGAGGCTCGAAGGCGTTGACGGAGTTCACGAGACGGTAGTAGTCGCGAACAACCCAATAGTTCAAGCTCGTGAAGTCGGTGAAACGCTTTTGAACACGACCGAGATTTTCCTACAACCAAGAAAGTGATGTGACAAATAATTACGGCAATTCATCGAACAGGTAGCGGTCGCAGAGCGAAAACGCACCTTAACGGAGCCGACGGTGACGAGAACGGGTGCGCAACGACGTCGTGGCAGGCGAGGCCAGGGAGCAACGGAAGGACGCGAGCGAATAAATAAAGCGTTGGCATTGGCGTCGGTGGAAGTGATTCTCTGAAGGGCGAAGAAAGGTGCATATGAGAGCGCGGCCATAAAGGTGTGTTGGTGTTTCCAACTTCAACGTGTTAGCGCATATGCAATTGAGCTTACCATTCCGCGGTTTTCTTCAGTGGAGTTTATCACTGCCCGAGAGGCTTCCCAGTGAAGGAGACACAAATGCTGTGGCATTGAATTGTAAAATCAGTTTAATTCTAAACTATTTATTTGATTGGGAATATATTTCTTGGACAAGAGAAGTGTAGGAAGATACCGAACTTATAGTTAATATAAGTATTTAGTGGGAAAGACAGTTAATTTTTTTTTTAATGGTGTGAGTAAAGAGAATAATGAAAAAAAAAAGCTTATCCTCCAAAAATGTCCAGAATAGTAAACTAAATATATCTTTAGGTATATCATTTTTCTTTTCATTATGATAAACCTAACACCACAAAGTAGTATATAACTTAATAGAACACACACATGTGAAGATAGTGAACGACTGAATATGAATCTCTATTTTGAAACTGGTGTAGTGGGTGAAACTTAACGAATCGCTCAGATAATCAATTGAAAGAAATCACAGAACTAATTTAAAAAATATATATAAAATCGAAAATATAAGTCAAAATTCAGCCAAAATCGACATGAAGTGTTTTAATACAAAAATCAATAATACATTATTTTTAATTATTTTCTTAAAAAAAAACCTAAAGTATTTGTATTTTTTTATTCTACTAATAAACTCATTATTATTAATAAATACTATGACAGTTTTAATTTAAGTATGATAACATATTTTATTTTAAATTTATTATTGCTTTAAATATTAAAAGCCTAAATTTATATATTATTTTAATTTTTAGCATCATATAATTATGATATTATACTTTTTTTAAATATTATTTTATTTATTATTTAGTTATTATAATAATTTTATTAATACCTATCTAATTACAATTCAACCATTGAATCTCGAACCAATACTTATTGAACGGTCTGATTTTAAACTATTTTCTATTGTAAAGAGAAAAAAGTAGAACTAACTGGCGGGAAAATTTGCAGCGAAACTTGAAATGTGTCCAGAAATCCTAACTGATGTACTATGATATAGATTACATTTCAATAGTTTCAAGATATATACAAACCAAAAGAATTAACGCCCATAAAGAAATAGTTTAAAATATGTACATAAGACCTTTCAAGTATCACTTGGATCATATTATCTCCATCTATGTCGTAAATGTGAATTAACAAGCATTCCAAAATCGAGCATCACGAGGATGATGCAACTTGAGCCATCAAACCATGACTTGAGCATATGCATCCAACCCAATACAGTCTTACAATTTACAGATAAACCTGGAGGAATCAATAACAGCTGTTGAGTGCTAAAGAATTCACGAGCATAATAAAAATGCAGATATGACAAATCATGTTTGAAACTTCAAATTAAAAATTATATTATACTCTATCAACTCTATGTCAAGGTATATAGATTTAAAATTTGTTAGTGTACAAAGAGATTTGAACATTCCTCAATAGTTTGAATGAATATTATAACTTGATCATACGTATGAATATTTATGAATGGTCCTGTTGAGATAGATTTTAATATCATATTAAAATGACAACACTTATATATTATAATATTGACATGGGAACTCTCTACACACCTAAAGAATCTAGGCTCTAGCAACAGATTTCTGTGGTATCCCCAAACAGCTCAACATACACTTTCAAAGATTTTTCTTCCTGTAAACATTTACACTGTTCTGGGAATAGTGGAAAGAAAATAAGAGACGAAAAAAAATAGCAAGGCAGAAAAGTTCGAATTTTTGCTTCCAAGTCAAATTTTCTCTCTCTTTTCTTTCCATGTTCTCTTCAACCAAACAAAAAATATATATATTATCTGTGTTTTCTTTACTTTTTACTATTTTTCTTTTCTTCCAAACATACCATACAAGATGAGGCAGTTTGTCGAATGTATTTTTTTCATAAACTTTTCTTTCAATAAATGAACGATTTCCTATACCCAATCAAAATTCAAGCATTATATAATAATAAGTCAAGTTGTCGAATAATTCAGATGTGAAAAAGACAACAATTCCTGGTTGACCATACCCACATAGAATCCAATTGGTATAGTTGAAAATAAGCATTCTGTTCTATTGAGTGGGGAGAAAAAAGCAATCTCCAAATGGGTCCAGGTTGAAGTATTTTCTCTTTCCATTTATAAAGACACATAAACAAGTGAATGTTTGGAATCAGGGTAATTGTACCAAAACTCACGACTAAAATAAAATATAAGAAAAAAGAAACAAAACCGATATAATAATAAAATTTTACTATCGGAAGAAATTCCAATACTCCTTTAAATCTTAGAAGAAAATAATAATAATCTAAGGAATAAGAGAATTTAACTATGTAATGCACTAATAGAAATGAGAAGATAAAGATTTAGGATGATTTTCAAGACATGTGACTAAACAATTTCCATGATGTGTGACTTCTCTTCTCATATTCTCCTAAGGGAAATGTTATTAGAATGAACAAAATTTACGAGCTGAGTTGTGACTTATTTTATATCAAGATTCCATTAAAGCAACACTTAAACCAGGTCTGTTAACACTCAGAAACAAAAATACATGTCTAAGCCTGAATTTAAAAATAAAAATAATCGGATGAAGTGAATGAATACCTTAATAGACTTATCAGCATATCCAACGTATAGTTTTCCTTGGCTGCATAATATAGCTGTTGCAACGGAACTGCAAGGAATGGATCCATATGCTTTGATGTCCAGTTCAAATTCGTCTCCAGATAATTCCTAAAATTCAGTAACTCTTTTAGTGAATTTCTATGATATTTGAATGAACAATATTAACTCAAATATCATAAGCTGAGCAAATTGCCTCTAATTTCCAAAAAGAGCACAGGGATTTAAATTTCTACCTGTATATTAACATTTTTGTCCCAACCTCCTGTATAAAGACTTTTTCCCTGCATGCTCATTGCAAAAATGGCCCCATTATGCAACGTTTTGGAATTCATGAACACGTCGTTCCTCCAGACCTAAACAAACAAATGATAAAAGAGATGTTACACAATATTGACATGAGTTGAATATGTGGATCAAGCCGACATGTGATATCAAGTGAGCTACAAAATTAATCATTAATCTTCAAAAGGGGAAAATTTCTGGTGAAGTAAGAAACCTTTATGCATCCGTTCTCATGTGCTGCAACAAGCAAATGCCTATCTACAGTAACAGCCAGGATAGACTTCATCTCTGCATGCGTATCTTCCCCCAAAACTGTCAATGGACTGTGGTCATTTAGACTCCACAACCGAACCGTACCATCCCAACTACCACTGTAAAGAACCTCATCACAAACAGCTAGCGTGGAAACTACAGATTTATGGCCAGTCATTGTGCATATCAAAGTTTCATCCTGGGAAAAGGTATAGAAACCCAAAGAATGCATTCACCACTGAAGCTTTTATTTTAGGCAGCAAAAAGTAGAGAAAGAAAGTGAAAAACTCACCTTTAATGACCAAGCTTTAATTGCTCTATCTCCACTTCCAGTGTAAAGAGAACGATTTTTGGAAACAGCCAAGGAGTGGATACCACTAAAGCGCCAATCCTTCTTCTCACTCCATTTCCTCAAGGGATCTTGCCTAAAAGGGGCAGCGATTTCCCAAATAAATATGCCCCCTCCACTGTCGCCACTTATGCACAATGGTTCTTCTGCATCTACATAAACTAGAGCCATGACTTTATTCTCGTGTCCTCTAAATGTGTGTAAATGAGAAAAGTCCTACATAAAATTTATGGCAAATGAGAAGAGCTCATTATAGCTGAGAGCCCATGAAACTACTACAACAACTACACTAATCTTTAGTTAAATATCATGGGCCTTCCCACTTTGTAATTATCATAAATCAATGCGTTGATATTGCATAACAATCTAGCATTCAAGATGGTGTTTTTTATTTATCCATGTAAGACAAAGAATGCAATAATTCCACATAGCACAAGGTAGGAAATGTATATATGAGCATCTGAAAGAAGTATGCCTGATGCCATTGTCTTATAAATTAGAACTCTAATACTGAAATTCAACGACTTCAGAGCTGACCTACATAGTTGGACTTTGTATGCAAGTTTTAGATTTTAAAGTTAAAAGGGAAGCCAGAAAATCACAAATAAATAATATATATTCCAACTATTTTCCTCTCTCTTCTTTTATTTATTTAGCTATTATCATTAAATATTTATCAGAAGGAATCCACTAACTGGTGTCAAATAGGGTGAAAAAAACCCTGAAAAACTATTGATTGGAAATATCAAAGAATTTGTTCTAATTCTGCTGCATTTACTGAAACAATAATGAAGGGATCCTAATGCTAAGATTATAAATGACACATATTGTTACCTGCAAGGACCATACACGGACAGTTTTATCAAATGAGGAGCTAAACAAATAACCCCCTGCAAAACTAAACAAATACTCATTAGAACGAAATATAATTCTGCATTGCATAATCACCACATCTTCTAAAAGATCAGAACAGTACAAGGGAAACTCTGACCATGTATAATTCTATAGATAAAGCAGCCTAAACGCAGATACTGAATAAGACTCTAGTTTACAGTAAACCGTGCGGTTTCAAATTATTTAATGTAATGCCATAAAGCTTGAGAAACTCTGACCAAATCAATTCAAAATCCTCACTTTCAACTGGCATTCAAACAATCAAACCCATGCCAAGTGTCAATTGTTAGATAACTATTTATCATTTGTTTGAAGGCCTTAAGCACACTTTAACCCACTTCAATATCAAAATGGACTGATTTATTATGCACCCATAACCATAGTCTTAAGGATCTTGTTACCCAAACATTCAAAAAATGGTATCATGAAATATGCTTGGTAGAAACAGCAAAGTATGAATATAAACTTAGAATTCGCACCCCCAACAGCCAATCCACTAACACAATCAAGATGGCCTCGGAGATCTTTGAGTTCAGTCAGTCCCCTAGATAAGCCAGCAGCAAAGTCTTCATCAGACTTGTCATTTCCATCTTGAGCAAAATTTGGTTGATCGCCAATTTCTTTCTCCTGCAACTCATGTTCTCTTGGTTCATTAGACCTTTCCTTAGACAACAAACACAGCTCCCCTAGAACCAAACATCGACCTGTGCTGTCTTTACTTATTGTAACCTCCAAGTTGCCCAGAAACTCAAATTGAGGTTTGACTAACATATCCTGAACGCACTTCCTTACATCTATCACATCTGGACGGTGTCCTGGATTGACCTCCAAACATTTGCAGAGAGTCGTCCTCAGTGACGCATAATCAGAGCCTAGTTTATCTTCCAAAACAGAACTAACTTTCTCCACCCAACACACATAACTAGCTGAGTTATCACCACCGTTCTCTTTATTCATTTCCAAGGTATTCCGAGGCAGCACATTTCCAATAAGAAGCCACAGCAGTACACAGGCCAATGACCATGCATCTGAGCGACACCCAATTGGATATCTCAAGTGCCCACTATCTGGAGCAGATTCCCTCTTATGCAACAACTCATACAAAACCTCAGGGCTTACGAAAATATCACTTTCCAAACAATTTTTACACATTGCTTCTTCTTCATGTTTACCGGAACCAGCATTCACCCTCCTTCCCATCGCCAATACCTCATTCAAATCAACACAAATCGCACCAAGCTCATCAAAAGAGAAACAAGAAAGCCCCAAACAGCCAGCAACCAAACCCTCCAAATGCAAAGAAAGGACAGCTTCACATATACCCCTCGCAATCATTACAAACCTAAAAATCCCACCGGTGTCCAACTCCAAACCACCCTCATTCCGACAAACAAACCCATTTCCCAATTCACCACACGTGTCCAAAAGATTACCGCTTTGCCTCTCACACACCATACACAGAGGTCCCTTCACCCCTTCACTCCACAACCCATAAACCCTACACACCCTCCCCTGCCTCACGGAAGCTTCTAGAATCAACCCTAACTCCTCTCTCGCAACCTGGCTCATCCCCTCCAAACACTTAATCACCCATGCAACATAACTAAACCTAAACTTAGAGTCATTCCCAGGAGAGAAACAAACAACAGGAGCGAGACTCACGCAGCGGTTAACTCCGAAACAAATCCTACCCTTGGACGAACTGAACCGACCAAGACAATGATCGTCGGTCAAAACGGCGTCGTGCGGGAGAATCCAATCCTTCCATGCAGCGTAGAACTCAGGGGACCAGAACTGTGAGTGGTCGTAACAAGAATTGATCGTGGACCGTTGGTTGGGTTTGTGGGAATGATTAGATGATGATGATGAAGAGGAGTGTTGGAGGGAGAGTCTGAGGAGGTCGATGTTTTTGGGAAGAGCGGAAGGGCCTTGTTGAGAAGGGTACTTCACGAGTTGGGTGCACGCGGGGCACCGAATAGTGTTCGGGTACCGCTGCGGAAGCTCCGCAAGACAAGCTTCGCAAACGGAGTGTCCACATGATAAGACTCGAGGGATTGCGTCGCGGTCGTCGAAGGATTGAAGACACACCGGGCATTCCGGCAGCTCCATCGCCGGCGGTGGTAAGCGCAGCAGGGAAGTCAATTGCAACACACGAAACTATTTATTTTAAAACGGTGTCGTTTATTGTTCGGGTTCTTTTTTTTTTTTTTTATGTCATTATACCTGACTCTGGTGAAAAACAAAAAATATTTTTTAAAAAATCTTAAATATTATTTTTGTTGAAAAAATAGCTTATAAACACTTCTGCCGGATGGTTTATATGGGATTGGATTCCCAAATTGCCCTCAGGTATTTGTCTCGTGCGTTTATTAAAACGACGATCGAGTGTTGCTGGAGATCTGAACAGAAACCGCTGCTTCCGATCTGAGGTGTGCTCTTTTTCTTCACTTCTCTCATTCGTTGTTTGTTTTCTGTGAAAAATGCGAGACTTAAAGGGAATTAAATTGATTGATTAGATATTGAATTCTTTAATGCTTCTGTTCTGCTTGTTTGAACGGCGATTGTTGTTTGGATTTGATGAAACTCAGCTTACGTAGCTTAGAGTTAGGGTTTTTGGTCAGTTATTTTACGCTTGGGATCGGTGTTCCTTGATAACATTGTTGGATCCGTTGAACTTTGGTTGTTGACTTTCGTTTTTCGCGAACTTCGTAGCTTCAGCTGCTTGTAAGCGAAATCTGGCTTCAAGCTTGTGTTTGCTTTGCGCGGTTGGAATAGCATTCATCCGTATCATAGACGACTCTTCTTTGACGCGGTGGCTTCTTTGTTTCCTTTTGCCAAAGAGAGTGTGCGTATGCTACATGTTTAAAAGTGCATAAATTACCAATTCCGTCCTTGAACCATTATCCTCTCACATAAATGGTTTCTGAAGGGATATTTTAGCCCGAAGTTGATGTATAATAAAATTTAGGAATCAATTTTAACGGTCTTTTTATATTTAGGAGACTACTTAGCATGATTTTTCATATTTCCAGTGCTTTGAAAATAGAATTGGTGATTTACGCTTGAAACTAATTGAGCTTGAATTATCGTATAGTACTGAAATGAACGCTCTGTCATAGATTAGTTAGTTTCAACCTTACTTATAGTTTAACATTTAAGTAGATTTTTTAATAAAATATGTGTTAGTGGATTATACCTGCTAGAGATATGTGGCTGCTTAGATACATGGGAAGTGTTTGTTCTTATTTTGGTTTATGGTAGTTTATATAGTCATGTGCTATTTCCGTTTACAACTGAGCGACGGGAGATAGTGATGTTTTTTTCCTGCTATTCACACAATTATTTGTGTTCATCCTTGTTTAACTTGCAATGAGAAGGACATGGCGGGATCTGGGAGTTCCATGCTGTATTCCTTTCTTCTCTTCACAGTCATTCTCTCCCTTCAAGAAATGTACCGTGGGAAACTAGCATCATCAGAATTATTCACTATACTTGGAGGCTTCATCAGCTCTCTCCTATTTCTCGTACTCCTAACTGTGAGTTCTGAATCTGTCTCTTGATTTCTTTCTCTTCAATCACAATCAGTACTCATTTTCTCAACTTTGAAGTTTTATATGCTGATAATATTATGTATCTTCTGACTAATAAGATCATACGCTATAAGAAATGAAAAAATGTTATTTATGACATCAGAAAAGAAAAAATGGTTATCACTTATTCCTTTTCCATTACATCTCTTTTGATACTAGTGTTTGGGTATTTGGACATTTGTTATAAACATACCTGTACAAAGGTTTGTCTCTTGAAGGCATCAACTTGTGCACTGCATTATTCTTCCTAATTTTATGAGAAGGGACATTTTTGTAACATGTAGCCAGAAGATCTTTTCTAGTTTGTAGGTTGATGTTCATTCATTCATATATATATATATATATATATATATATATATATATATATATATATATATATATATATATATATATATATATATATATATATATATACGGTTCCCTGATTTTATACAATCCTTCTACTTTGTGAAAAGCAACAGATCTTGTTCATTCTAGTACTAGATGACCAGGGTGGCTTATTTTAATGAGAACTATGTGAATTTATATTTATCTATGTAGTTTGTACACCAGAGCCACCCATGCCCAAAAGACAATCCCACTCACCCAACTGGATGAAAGATTATATGAGAAGTTTACATTGTTGTTTCTTTTTACTGTTTAGTTCCTCCACAAGTGTAAAATGTAACAAGGGCCCATTAGCCTTGGGCCATTTTATCCTTTTATAGGTTTCTGCATGAGGAAATGAAAAGGAAGGAAGTTTTTATCTTATTTTTAGCCTAGTTTTGTGCTAATACATAGCGACATTTTTCTTTCTCACTGTAGTGACCAAACAGTAGTCTTCTTTTAATTACCTTCTACACTTTTTTCTTCCAAGAATTCCATCGAAGCTAAATCTTTCAAGGTAATTTAGGATATTTACATTTGTGTTTGCAGTTCATTGGAAATTTGCAGGAAACTATTGGTGCAAAAACTGGTTGGGGTGCTGGTAAGTACACATTGATTTTATTAGGAGTTGTGACACTTGAAGAACTTCTAATATTGCATTTTATGATTATGAAAATTGAAGATAGTTAATTTTTATTTTGCAGTCATAGTTGCAGAGACAGTTGCTCTGATTGCTGCAAGCACTGTTCACCGGGTTTGCATCACAACATGGTATGCTCCCCTCAATCCTCTTTTGCCTCATGAATGAATAAGAACTTCACTTAGAAATGAGTATCTAAGTATTTAAGAGTGTAGGGGGCCGGGAGGACATCTCACAAGCCCAAACTTACCTATGGTCTAATAATAATCAAACTGATAATAATTCAGTTGGATATTCCTGCCCCACCTTCTTAAAGCCTGGTTAATTACATGAACTCAACAACTTATAGTTGCATGTCCCTTTTATAAGAAAGATGATAGATCAATTACTTAAATAGAAATGTGCATGTTCTATTCATATTTTTTAGAAAATCGCTTTTTATGTTGTACCACTTTCCTGAGAGTCTGCTTCATTGGTTTTAGCTGCTTAATATGCTTGCAAATTGCAGAAAATCATAAGGATGATTCTATTTCAGAGGGTACATGTGTTTTAATGAAATGAAAAGTACTGTCATTATCGTGGTATAAAAATGAAATCATAGGCAAGCTTAGCAACATGATGGCTAGCTGTGGATCCTTAAGTATAAAAATGCATCACTTTCATATGAACTCATTGTTTATGTTCTGATATTTGCACAAATGCAGTTTCCTGTTCTCGGCTGGATTGCTGTATGAGGTTAACAAGATTTCTGGGTATGCGCTTTCAACAAGCGACCCAAGGACTAAAAAGCAAAGTGGAAGAGCTTAAGCCTATGTATCCTTAGTATAAAGGCAACTTTAGAAAATTTTCCCCTGGAGTATTAGTTTTATAACCCTATAGTATCATAACTTGTAAGAAAAGTGTTTTAAGTTTGTTTGACTTTCCTTCTACAATTTCAATGATATGATTTGAACGATCTGCGTCTAACGAAAATCCGATCAGTCATTTTTCACAGGTTGGCTTGTTTACTTAAAATAATTCAATGCCAAAATGAATTACGAGGGATTTAAACTTCTGAGGGATCCAACTTGCATATATATTGAATGGTTCTGGGTTTCGTTCCCTACCAAGTATGCCATTTACACTATAATCTGCCATTGCCAAGCATGCAATGCCAAAATCAGTAAGTGCCAGTTCTTAACTGCGTTACAGATCTTGGAACTCCATCTGAGATTACCTTTGGTTAGGGATCATGTATATTTTTAGCACTCGGCAACTCGAGCAAAAAAAGAACTTCCCACCTCGTTTGAAGTGGCATAACCTAGGTTTGCATGCAAGTGGTGTGATATGCATCCCCTTAGTGTTTAGAGGAGTCATTTCAGAATCACAAGATTAATCATGCCAACAGTTTTTTTAACAAAAAATGGTCCAAGGTACAAATTCGATATCAAATAGTCGGAAAATAAAATTGTGGCTTTTACATGAACTCGAGCCTACCAGATTACCCCTTATGATGACTGTCCACAAAATCTATGGAATATGTAACATTATCTGAACAAGTTATCTCCCGAACACTAATTATTAATAGACTCCACTAAGCACTATGGCTCGACAGAATTAAAACAGCATACTGAAGACTATACAACCGAAATTCTGGTACTAAGATATTGCCTTCGATTTTTTATTTTTTCTCTAACAAGTAAATATTAACCTTCTAGATCTCGTGTGTTTACCAACTTCTTATGTGCACAAAGAAAACCTGCACATATCAGCAGCACCGAAAAGCATAAGCTGCCGCAAGACACAACACAAATTAGCCCCAATTTTTGTCACGGATTATATAGCACAGGCCTGTTCTTCCAAAATATGTACGGATTAAGGTTTAAACCCTTAGCTGATCCACATTGCATAGTGGTTAACCACAGCAAGTCAGACGGAAATAGCCCCTCCTTAGAAGTTCACTTCCTGTAAAAGTTGTAAAGCCAAAAGAAAACGAGTAACAAAAATTTAAGTAACAGAAGACATAAGTAGGTAAGTCATTTTGGTTCAGTCTATTTTTCAATGGTTTTAATTGATTCCTACTTTTACAATCACTGTTAACCCGGCATTTCCCCAGATTTCTCACAGCAAAGCCACTTCTCACGTGGCTGAGTGTTTTTTTTTTTCAGCCAACCTTTACCTTAATCAAGGCTTAAAATCCAACTAAGTGTAATATAATTAATTTTTTAGTCCCAATAACAATGCCTAATTTGATTCTGTTTTTGCATAAAATTAACACATTAATATCATGTTCAACATTCATTGTTAAATTATATACAACAAAAGCCAGTAACAAAGTGACATCATGAAATGCAGACCCACTTCAAAATGGCATTTTAACAGCTGAAAATTTAGGTAAAAAGAAACAACATACTGGAAATCTAAGCATATCATTCAAAGACTTCAATCAATAAAAAGTAAGCTAAGTTTACCAGGGGGCTAAGTGACATCACTGATATTTGTCTAAGGTTGATAAGCTGTTCCTACTTGCTGGACATAGAGCCAGTCACTGGTGCTAGATTTTTCTTCACTAAAAGATAATCAGGATATTTTCCACTGCACTAATGACAAAATCAAAAACAACTTTTTTTAACCCTTGCTCACTTCCCATAGAAGTCATAAATCAAGAAGCATCAAATCTTAAACTCACTAAAATTCAAGGGTGAATATACCCATGCTAATTTAGAGATATTCACACTTTAGACGAACCTTTCCCTATCACGACAGTTATATATACATTCGACACATCTTCATGTTACATTCGAAAATCCAGTGGATAGTGCTATACTGATCTAATCAGCAATGACCTGAAATATACCGTTTGATCATCAATGCATTTGATATTTGGGAGTTACACGGCAGTAGCAGCATATCTGCATATGGCACTTCCAATATTATAATAAGAAACCGTTTAGTTTTAAAGCAAAAGGAAAACGTTTACAAAAGAAGCAACATGCAACCGAAAATAACAGAAATCAGAGTGAAAAAGTAAATAAAAAGGTTTAGCAGTAAGTTAAATGGTCTGATTTCTATTTATATAATAGGCAGGACCAAGTATACAAAACTGTGGCTACAAAATGATGTGAAAACAAAATCAGTACTCATCGATTGTTATATGTTTCTAGTTGCCAATTGCATTCTATGCTTTTTAATCATATAAAGGCTCCTTGACAAGAAGATTCATTTTCTCATTAAGAAATTTGAGTACATCCTCTCTCCCTTCCTTTAAAAGCAACTGTCTTAACCTCCCAAATGTAATACGTGATGGTCGAATTCCCTTCTCTATCATCTCTTCCAGAACAACGCAAGCTTTTGCAGCATCACCCTTTTCACACAGTCCCTTGATAAGGGCAGAAAAAGTGTGCATGCTTGGAACAAATTGTTTTGACTTCATATACTTCCATATTCTCAGAGCCATCTGCAGATCATTTTTCTGACAAAACATTTTTATCATCATTGTATAAGTGTCAGCATCAGGTTCACACTGCTTGATCATCCGGCGGAAAACTCTGAAAGCTCTATCAGTCTGTCCCTGACCAATCATACTGCTTATAATAACATTGCAGGTCGTTGAATTAGGAGCAACGCCATTGATCTTCATCTCCTGCAAGACCCTATGCACATTTGTAAACTTATTTACTTTACAAAAGGCACCAATCAATGCATTATAAACTGCAACATCAGCCTTGATTCCCGTCTTCTCCATCTCCAGGAATGTATCAATAGCATCTTCAACACGGTGCTCCACTCCATATGCATGAACCAGGACACTATAAATGAAAGATGTTGGCCTGCAATTGCTCTCATCCATTTCCTTTACAACCTCAACAGCTTCATCAACCCTCCCCGCTTTGCAAAGAACATCAACCATTATACCATAAGTAACAACATCAGGATCACACCCAGCGCGAACCATATCTCTAAAAACCTCCCTTGCTCGGGGAAGATTGGGAGCCTTTCCCCACCCCTCAAGCAAAATGCTGTAAGTTTTTGCATCCGGCACAAACCGACCCATGATAGCATCAAAAATCTCCTGAGCCTTCCTTACATTGTTGGACTTGCACAAAGCACTTAACAAACCATTAAATGCAGCAAGGTTTGGAACCACGTCGTATTTATTCATCACATTAAAGGTGTAAACAGCCTCATCGACCTTGTTAGCCCTAGCATACTTTCTCATCATGATGCAAAAAGTCTCAACATTTAGCATACCCTTTTTCCTCATGGCATTAACAAGGTCCCACGCGATCTGGTACTGTCTAATCTTAGCCAAAGATTCAATCATCAAGTGATAAGCCCTTATACTGTGTGAGTAACCTCTCTGCTTCTCTGCCCACTCAAAAAACCGAAATGCTGACATGCCCGCATTCTCAAATCTCTTGAGAATATTTTCAACTAAATCAGGCGAAACTCTAACTCCAGTTTGATTAAGAGCAGTGTCAAGTGCCAGTGTGGGACACGTCATCATAACCTTGCTCACTTTTTCCCTCGCTTCTCCAACCTCCTGAATCGACTCACTTGTGCTGTGCATTTTCGCAAACAACACCCCTTTGGATAATAATTTTTTTCTATGGGAACAAACCTTAATCATTGCGTTGACAAAGCAAGAGTTGCAAATTATTCACCTGAAGCAAGCTCCACGATCCCGAGTCTGCAAACCCTAACGAGGGGAGGGTGATGGCTCAATACGGCCAACGCCAAAAAAATTGCAATCCTGTACTTCTATGTATGGAGTTTCGGGTCGCGGTGGTTTTGGTGGTGGCTGATAGTGGTTACGCCGCTGTTGTGTTCGGAATCTCTCAAATTGAGTGAAAGAATGCTTTTTTCTAAGGGCTGATAGTGGCTGATACTGGCCATGTCTTGTAAAAATAATTAAATCATATTATTAAGACCTTTATTGAACCCATAACTTAAGTGAAATTATAAGATTAATACAAAGATAATTTAATCTATAACTTAACTAATATTTCAGTGACTTCAAACTTTTTATACAAATATTATATTATTATAAATTGTAATATATAATAGACTTTTTATTCTTACAATAAAAAAATAAATTATAATATTATATTATTTTAAAATTATAAAAAATATAATACAAGTTACCTATATTAGCAACACAGTAGAACCTATTTGAAGTATATTTTCGTAAAAAATAAGATATGATTTGAAAGTTCTTTTGTAAAAGGTAGCAAACAAACTTATTAAAAAAATCTATATTTTACCAACAAAAACATCACTTTATAGGTTTTTTTAAGAAAAAAAATCTACTTTAATTCAAATCATATTAAAAAAATAGTAAGAGTAAAATAAGTGTCTTATAGTATTATTATAAATTTTTGTGTTTTAAATATTTTTTTATCTTCATATATGGATATTTTAAGTGTTACTTAAAAACATGTGTAATGTTTTTTTAGTAAAATATGCTTTTTATTCAATGATTATTAAAAATGGTTATGTTTGGTATGATTTAACTTTTTCTTTTTTTAATCCTCATACATCGTGATTTAATTCGTTCATATTTTAGTCTTATATCGTTAAATATAAATACACCGTTAGTTTAAAAGATAAATGGTTGAATACTTTCACTTCCGAATAGTCTTGAGAAATGATAATTGAGTGGGAATTTGACATTTTTAAACTACGAGATACTTATTTTTATTTTGATTGCAGGTAGGTAATAACCAACTCATTATTAAAAATATAGTAAAAAGAATTAATAAAAAAATTACACTGAATTTTCACCATCATTTTTAATTATGAAGAAAGACTGAATTATTGATGGTACTCTCTAGAACTCTTCCTTAATTCTAGTTATAATTCAGTTGCTTGTTATTTAAGCATGTATTTTAAATTAATTGTGTTTTTAACTATAATAATTAAATATATAAAAAAAATATCATGTACGCGAGATAAAAAAATTAATTTGTATAAAACATAACCATATTTAATAATCGTTATACGATTAACATATTTTAGCTATAAATATGGTACTTAAAAATATTTATATAAGAATGTTAAAATATATTTAATCCAAAAAATTATTATAAAAAAATCAAAATCTTAAAAATAAATTAAGTTAAATTAAAATTTGTAAGATAAATTTAAATAAAAATAACAAAATAAACACATCATAATTTTAATTCATCAATTCATTTTAATTTATTAATTAATTCAACAGATTAAGATGAATTAGTCTATTGTCCTATTTACAAAATATTTATATATTAAAATTAAAATATTATATTTTTTATATTATGTTATTAAAATATATAAATATATTATAATATAAATTATAAAAAAATAATTAATTAAATTTAAATTATTAATTATAATTAATTATTTTAATTAATAAATATAATATTTTTTTAATTTATCTAATAAAAATATTAATTAATGAATAAAAATTTAAAAATTATTTATATGATTAAAAATATATTTAAAACAAAAAATACCTAATTTATTCGATGAGTTGGAATTTATAATCCCGCCTTAATTATAATAATCAAAATTTGACCTAATTTTATTTTATTTAGTTCATAATTTTTTTTAACTCACCTATTTTTGGAACTCATGAATTAAACATATGACACCCCTGTAATTATGATACTTAACTGTAGTTACCATAATTATTTATTATTACACATTGAATTAACTGTAATTACCAAAATATTAACCGACAAAATTATGTACGAGAAAAAAAAGATGAAACACAAATTTTGTTAATAATATATTTTACCCATTACTAATAATAATCTGAGTGAAAAAAACATATCTCTGTGGGGAATTTTTCTGAAAATTAATAAATATAGGATACATTGAATGTAATATAAAAAAAATAAAAATAATTGAAAATAAAAATTAATTGATTAATGATACAATGGATAAGCTTGACCATGCAAAATTATTTTAACACTTTATTTGTATTTTGGTTGATTTGATATGAATTGACACTAGTAACAATATGTCGAAATGCAAGAATTAATTTTTCATATTATTAATATTTTCTATAAAATAAAATTAAATGTATTATCATATTACACATTAAAAACATTTTAACTGTTTAATAAGAAAAATAATAAAGAAAAATATGTAACAAAATATAGCCATTTAAATATAGAGTGTTAAGTGAAAAAAAAAACATTTTTTTAAATGTATATACAACTTAAATGTGTTGCAATCCTATAATTCAGCTTCAATTAACTTTCTCTTGGATTTGTTGAAATTTATAATTGTAAAACTTCTTTTATATTTTCATTTAATTGTGGTATTTAATTTTAAACTTAACTTTGAGAATTTCTTAGATTTTGATATTATATACACGAAATAAAATTAAAAGATGTGTTTAACATTATCAAATGAAGTAATTTAGAATAAAGAAATAAAGGAAACATTAAAAGCAAATAAAGAAAAAGTTATATGAAGATATCACACTATGGATAATTTTTTTTCTATGATAATTTTTAAATAAATTTATTTATTAAAAAAATAAAGACTCTTACATATAATATTTTAAAAAATATTATAAATGATACAATTCAGTTCTTATATATATATATATATATATAAAATGTAAAACATATTAAAAAACTAAATTAAAAATATAGAATTAAATTAAGAAATTATTACAAAACTAAGAATTTATACAAAATAGTAGAAAAATTGTATCGAAGTATTTTACAAGATCAGCCTTTGCTTCAATAAAGTTTAAATAAAATCTAATTGCAAATTTATAAATCATATGTTTAAATAATTAGTAAGACCTAGTATTAATTTAACCAAATATTTTAAAATTAGAAATTATATTATGATTATTTTATTATAATAATAAAAAGGTAAAAGAGAAAAGGACATGAAAAAAGCGCGTGGAACTGTTCGAGGTGATCAGTGTTGAAGTGTTTCTCTCTCCGACATGCCACCTACAAAATTACAACAACCCAACCGACATCCTCAACCTTACATCCCATTTCCCTACATTTCTTCGTTGTCTTGCTTTCCCTTGCACTTTATCAATTTTATTTTCCTTCACATTTCTTCTTCTTCTTCTCTTTCTGTTAACTTTTTGTTTTTATACTCTCAAAATTTTCAAAAAAAAAAAAAAAAAAATTCCTCTGATCGATTTTTCTTCGTTCAGAGAAAAACAAAAATTATTAACCATTCTTTTTTGTTCGTTTCAGCTCTTCTCAGCTAACCCCAAATTCAATTCCTTTGCCACATTCATTCATTTTGTTCTAATTCAATAATGGACGAGTTCGGTGTTCTGACTGAAAGGTACGGTCTCAAACCGCAAGGAAAATCCGCTCCAATGGCGAGGCCATCACCAAAGCGACCTCCAATTGGCGCTGATTCCCCCAATTTCAAATCCACCCTAAACGGATCCCCATCTCCCCAAACTCCCCCTTACGATTTCAATTTTGATTACGGGGTTTTCAGCAGCAGCAGCAGCAATAATAACAAGACGCAGCATTTCGACGATGTCTTCGGCGGAAACGCCAAATCCAATGGCGCTTCGTTTGACTACGATTCCATATTCGCCGGATCTAGTAAACCGGTTTCCACGTCGCCTTATGTCGATGACATATTCGGTGGAATGCATGCGAAGAGTGTCGGTGTTGATGATCTGCTTGATAAGATTGGTGGATTTAATACAAACAACAAAAGTCCAAACTCCAAAGCACCTGGTTTTGATGATCTGATCCCTGGCTTTGGTGTTTTCCATAATAGGTAATAAATTTATATTTAATTACTTCTAAATTTACAGGATTAATTGTTTAAACATCTTGCTAACCATTGTCTTCCTTGAGAAAGTAAAAGGAAATTTTTTGTTAGAAATCACATGAAACATATTATAAAGTTCTGTAGGACTGTACTTTTATGCATCCTAAGAAATATATTTCTACTTTTAATTCCTTAACTAGTGCTTTGCTTTGGCTTTTGTCATAGTTTTTATTTTTATTTTTTTGGGTAATTGTGTTATTGAAATGAAGTCGACTTCGCCAATGACTGATATCTATAGGAGAATCTGATGGACCATGTTTAGTAGACTCTTCCTTCTAACACTTTTTTTTTTTTTTCATACTTAATACTTGAATTTGAGAGATTTTGCCATAGTTTACTGCCTCACTTGCAATCCTTTTATTTTTTTGTTACTCTTTTAATGTGTTTATTGTTATATTCTTAGTGCTGAGATGAATAGGCCAAGTGTCACTCCAAACAAACCCGCTACCGTGTCTCACGATGACCCCTTTTTGATATTTGAAACCGCTTCAAGCTCAGTGTCTTCAGAATCAGTCCTGGACTCGCTGGAGCAGATAACTAAGATGAATAGCTCTAAAGGTTCAAAAGGAAGCTCCCCAATATTGAAGTCCCCACCCAATCCAATGAGTAAAGGTACTTTCTAAATGCTTGAGCTTCAACGCATGACTAGCAATATAGCCTTCCTTTTCATAGATACCATTGGCTGAATTAGATGGCTTTCGATGCAGTTAATAAGTCAAATGCATCATCAATAGATGAGTTTGAGAATTTTGCCATGGGTGGAGCAAGGACAAATGCTAGTAGTAGAAAGCCCAATGTTAACAGTGCTGAGACTAAACAAAACTCGTCAGCTAAGATAAACAATGGTAAAAGAGTTCCAGCTGCAAAAGTGAGTCAGTCAAATGACGTGGATGATCTTGAATCCATTTTCAGCATGGCTCGGTCGAGCAGTGTACCAAAGTCAAGGACTCCAACTATGGTAAAAGTTATTAATATAATGAGTTTGAATTTGCGACACCCACATACCATATTCAGTTTATTTTTTTATGGCTGATATGTTACTTCGGATCATGTGTATAATAACCAAATGAAGAACAAAGGGAAACCTGAGGTATCACCAAGGGTGCCATCAGGATCCCCAGCCAGTGTGATGACACCTCCAGCAATGACATCTCTTGATGACCTGTCACTGATTTTTGGTGGTAAGGTTTTTAAATTTAGTGAATTCTACGACAGTGAAGTGATTTTCTGGTCAGCATATCATTTATTTTTTTGGTTGCAATAGGTTCCCCATCATCTAAATTCCAGGAGGTTGAAGGGGAAACTGAGGAAAGACGAAAAGCAAGATTAGGACGTCATCAGAGATCACAAGAGCGAGCGGTGTGTGTTATTATCTTGTCTCTATTTCCTTTAATATGGAAAGGGAAGCTCATCAATGCAAATTATACGTTTTCTTATTATTTTGGGATATTGTTTTTTTCTGAAATGGTTTGATAGTCAATCCTTTAGCCTAATTATGTCTACAGTAACCAGTATATGATACCATATGGAGTCTTCCTAGCTCATTTTTTACATTTAACATTATAGGTTTTCATAGGATTTTTTATTTTAACTTTTATGACTGTCATATTTTCAGTTGAAAGCAGTGGCTGATATGAACCAGCGTGATCTTCAAACTAAGATGGAGCAAGAAGAGAGGCGGGTAAGCAATTTTTTTGTTTAGATTGTTCTTTATTTCCAAGGTTAGTCATTGTATAATTATCAATAATTCTTTTGCTTTATTTTATACGTATTTGTCAAATTTTCTTTGCCTGACTTTTTATTTTAATTTGGCAGAGAATTGCTGATAGTGTGGATCCTCAGATAAAGCGCTGGTCTGCAGGGAAAGAAGGCAATATACGGGCATTGCTGTCAACATTACAATATGTAACACTCTTTTACAATAATTACTAATTGGCAATAATTCATTTCACTTTAGGGCTTTTGAGTATACCTCTTTCCACACACAAAAATATCTTGAGCAGAATAATTAAATCCCGCCAGTTAGAAAGTCTTAAAAATTGGAAAGACCATAGTAGTCAATCACAAATAGTGGCGAGGAGTAGCCCGCTTAAAAAATGCTATATCAAGATAGTTGGTTAACTAATCCCTAAACTCTAAACATAGATTTACATACATCTATATGCTGAAAAAAAAAAACCCTAATTCATTGACATTCATAACTAAACATACACATCATTAACAACGAATACAGGAATTGAACATCCTGAAACCTCTATGTCATAGAGCAACTATAAATTCAAATTCAGTTACAAGCATTTAGTAGGTATCATCAAGCATACTCAACCAACCAAGCACTTGGCAAACTATCTCTTTAAAGCTAGTTGCTAAGTGGGAATAACCTTGTCACTTAAGTACTCAACGAAGCATCTCTTACTACTTGATGTGGGACCCCACTTCTTGATACTTAACTCTCTGTCATAGCATTTCCCTTGAGAGTTGATGTCTTTCAAGTCAGATCACTCAGTCTTTCAAGTGAACCCGTCAGTAGGTTGTACCTTTTCAGACACTGTTAACAAACTCTAACCAATTGGGGAATCCTAAAATTTAGTTGTCAAGCGGGGAGAACCGAGCCACTTAATTACTCTATTGAGTTACCCATACTGCTCAATAGAGTTAGACACCTCATGACACCTAAGTTCCTATCGCCTATCTCTTTCTCATTTTTGCTTTCACCACTATTTTTTCCACTTCTTCCTCTATTCAGTTCGTTCATCATCACATTCTTTTTTTTTTTTTTTATAACTTCTTTCCCTTTCTCGTTAAAGCTTGAAGGCCTAGAACTAAAAGCAGTTGCAGTTGTCTTTAATCTTGTCGCCTAGTGTATATTTAAGGCCGACCAACCTCAGTTGCATTTATAACAATTCTCCAAGTTTTGGTATCATCACCAAACGCTAATTCAACTTCAACACCTTCATCATCTCCACCCATTCCTCCTAACAACTACTCATTAGTATCATTTAGGACAAGATCATCACATCATGACACTCAAAATGTTTTTTAAGAGCTTGGTTATATTTAATAAAAATGAAGTTTGGGAAACTTTGAGGCTCAAGTTTGCTTCTCTTTTTAGATTTACAATAATTCTATTTTATAATTCAAAATAAATTTTAATTATTATTATTATGTGTAACTCTTTAAAATTAAGTTATTTGGCAATTAACATTTATTTACATGCTCAAAGGCACTTCAATTCTGCTCGCATCTTGTGAAACCACAAGTCAAGCTCTGGCCTTAACGAGATTGTTTTGCACAGATAGAATATGTGATATGTAGTTCAACTACTGTTCGATGCAGTACATCGACTCATTAGCATTTTCATTTGCATAATTACTCCATGTAATTAAATTATGAAATACAACTTCCATTTACCAAAACCCAACATAGTCCTTGTCTTACAACCTTCAAATTACAGCAACAATCTGACTCTTATATACTGACAAGCCATTTGAAGTCATCTTCATTGTCTTAGCAGTAAGCCTTCCAATGCGTTTATATACAAACCTTTGATAATTTTTGGATATTTTCAATTCTTGGATTGCTATAGAAGAATTTGGAATTAAGATAATGACTGGTTAAGTGCAATGGATTATGCAGTAATAGTGAAAACCTCTTTATACTTGTCTTCCTTTCCTTTGAATGCATCTTGAATAGCTTCTTTTGACTCAATCTCTAGCTTAATATATATAATCCATTACAGCCTTTTCCTCTTTAACAAACCTAAAAACTTGCACAAGGATCCTCTTAACCTGAAGAGTATAAATAACATCTCCAAAAGGTGCCTTTTAAACTATTCCATTGTCAAGCTGTATTGGTATTGAAGTAATTTCCTATAGGTTTTACCATTGCATGGAAGAAAGTGATGCAAAGACGGAGGCAAGGCTAACTGGTGTTTCATGTGGGGCGAGTGGATAAAGCCATTACTGTTAAAAGACTTTTTAGAGAGGTTGAAAACGGACCAGGAAGAAAGAAATAGAACAAGGTCAAATTGGTAGTGAGTAGGCCAGAATATAATGAAATCACCCTAAATTAGTCTGGAGAGAGATGGGTCTTAATTAGAGATGAGACCGCCACTAAAATCCAGTGAGAACAGAGCCGGGACACCAGAAATTGGTGGGTAACAGCTGTGCACGCGTTTGACCGTTGAAAAGGATGTTGGAGGAGTGGGTCTTTGCGTAGAAGCAGAGGCTAGGATTCCACGTTGGGAGTGTGTATGTGAAGGGAAAGGAATCATGTAAAAGACCTTTCAGATTTCCAATTGTTGCCCACTCTTCCCCCTTCCCCCTCCCCGAAAGCTTTAAATGGCACCATTCAGGGGCAAAAAGGGCTTTATTCCCAACAAAAACAGTTGTATTGAACTGCCATGATAACAGCTGTGAATCCTGCCACTGCATCTGCAACTGCAAGGTGCGATGGTATGGGATCCTGCGGAGATCTGTCTTCCTGTGACATGCCACAATGCTACTACAGCGCCACCACTGCACACGATTAGCTACTATGGGAAACAAAATGGAACAAACATTTTCGTCAGTTTGCCTTGGCAGAACAATTATTCTGTATCTATAAAATTAACAAAAAAACAGAACTTGTGTTCTGTAACGTTCTGACCTGTTTATCCAAAATGCTACGTAAGTTTCATTTTGTAAGGGGGTAGAAAATTAGGCTATTTGAAATTAAATATAAACACATATTTGAAATTAAACTTAACACTAGATATATAAATAACAATTTGAAATTGATTGGGCTAGTTTTTAAGTAGTATATGCCTTTGGTTAATTGAAGACTCTGCTAGATCTTATTTAACAGGAAGTTGATGGATTTTTCTCGTATCTTTTATTTCCTTTTAATGTTACTAGTCTTAATTTAAGACTTTACCCCCCCCCCCACACACACACAAAACTTGCAACATTTTACTCCATCTTACCATTGAGTTTATATGCAGGTTCTTTGGCCAGAATGTGGTTGGCAGCCAGTGTCTCTGACAGACATGATTACTTCCGCTGCAGTTAAAAAAGTGTATAGAAAAGCAACTTTATATATTCACCCAGATAAAGTCCAACAGAAAGGTTCTACCCTGGAACAAAAGTACATAGCAGAGAAGGTTTTTGACATTCTTAAGGTATGCTGTTAATTAGTTATGAAGAAATAATATTCCTTACCTTCAAGTCTATGCCCATTTTCCCCTCCTAAATGTCAGATTGTAATTGTACCACATCTAATTTCTACTTTTACCAGATACAGTATAATCTGCCAGAAATCTTGAAAACCGTAACATTATATTAATATCTGAGCAAATTTATTTTCTAAATTTTTTATAATTTAGTAGAGCGTACTGACATTGTAATCCAATAATAGATAAGTGAGAAGTCATATTTGTAGGATATTTTAATTTGTTGATATTATAAAGGTCTTTAAGTTGACATGTGTATGAAAATTAAACTTGCGTTTTTATTGAAAAATAATAACAGTGATACTTTTTCTTATATTTATTCTTCTTACCTTGAAAACAGGAAGCTTGGACCAGGTTCAGTGCAGAAGAGCTTTCTTAGATCCCTGTGCAAATGTGTGTGCAAAATCAATAGCTATGAGCCTGTTGGCTCGCCTAGCTGGTGCCTGATATATTTGTTTTTATGCCGTTGAAGATAACTGCATGAATATTACGTGGCATCATTTGGCAGAAGATTCATTTTCCCCATACGTTAAACGCTCTACTGTGAGTTATAACGTATCTTTGTTGTATAAGTAATCATGTTGATGGGTTTAGTTCGTTGTACAAATGTTTAAATGCTCAGGCTTCCCTAAAATTCAGTCAGCTCGCCCAAATTGTGATGACAAGGGTATATCTTATATTTAGGTTATTAGATATTCACAATTGCATGCATAATATATTTTGTGGGAATGATTGATCATTCATTTATATACTTGTAACCTGTCTTTGTAACCTGTTTTTGCAAGAACGGAAATGTTTCAATTGATATTTTCCCCCCATTAGAATCAATCCTTGATTGAAATGTTAATAGTTATAACAATCCAAAGTCTGTAACATGTCCTAGTTTATACTCATTCATAACACGAGAAAATCGATTAAACCATTGAAGAATTATCAAGCCTGTAATATGTCTTGTAATCAAATATTTGAAATGATTAAAAAAACATTGTGTTTAATATCCCACGAGAATGTTGACGGAACAAGAAATCGCAGAGAATGCGATCAAGAACCAGGGACAGAGATGTGGAAGATGCAATGTTCTCATCTAAACACAGAAAGTGATACCATGTTAGGACAGAAGTGAAAAAGAAATAATGTGCTAAAGAAAAAAAAAACAAAGGCTGAAAATGTAGTTAACACTTAAATTAATAATACGATGAAAATAGTACATATAAGATGAGATCATGTTTACCTTATAAGTGGAATTAGAGTAATATTTCTTTTAATAAATTTGGGATGGTGTAAAGTAATCCATTTATTAAATTTTAAGATGGTATTAAAGTTTACGAAACTATTATAAATTTGTTTACTTATGGTGAGTTTTGCAAATTTCATGTTTGAATATAAAATATAAATTAACAATTGAAGATAAATTTTACACCAAGTTAACTTTTACTAATATACTAATAATAATAATAATTATTATTATTATTATTATTATTATTATTATTAAAATAATTATTAATTGGGTGTGTTTTCTATAATCCGTTGTCAACATATCACCATGAAAAAAAAACGTATATGAATGAGATGAGAGAAAAAAAAATTATGTGTTTTCTGGAATTGATTATGCTCGGAAATAGTTTAGCTAGCTAAAGTCGAAAAAATTAACACAATTTCTTAAATCTAATAAAAAAAGGAGGTTTTAATTAATTTATCGGTGAACACAACAAATAAAAATGGGACGTTTTCTTTAATCAAACAAATTGCACATTCCATGTCTCTGATTCTTTGTTCAGTATTGGCTTTTGAAACAACCACAAATTTGAAGGAAAAATTCTCGAAAAAATACCATACCATTGCAAGTTGCTTTCTCTGGTCTATTGGTGAATTTGCTTTGCTTTTTTTTTTCCTTTTTCTTTTTGTCGACGATAATCCTCCATGATTGAAATCTGCCTAAAAGAGAATAAAAAGGATATAAGAAAATGATTGGTATGAATTTTTTGTATTACATCACGATGATGATTATAACTTATATAGGAAAAAGAATAACAGAAAAGAGGAGAATAAAACATATTCATGTACTATTTATCGCTCATATATATTCTAGAATTTATATCATCTACTTGGGTAAGAAATAGAAAAGAGAATTAACTATTGCATTATGTTCTAATTAGTTAGGATCTTCTTCTTTTAGCCCCCACTGAGGTAGGTAGATATCAACTAACTTCAGCTTGGATAAATTCATAGTGAAAAGACGAGGTGAGAGGGCTTTTGTGAAAATGTCAGCCAATTGGTGTGAAGAGAAAATTAGAAGCAGTCGCATAAGACCAACATGAGATTTCTCTCTAACTAGATGACAATCAATATCTAAGTGCTTCGTTCGTTCATGAAAAACGAGGTTGATAGTTATGTGAAGAGCACTTTGATTGCCACAATAGAGGATAGGTTGAGATAAGTGAAGAACTTGCAAATCTCTAAAAAGAAAAATGAGTTATTGCAGTTCACAGGTTGCGGAGGCTAAAGCACAATATTCAACTTCGGAAGAGGAACGAGAGACTGTATTCTATTTCTTTGTCTTCCATGAAACCAGTGAATTACCAATGAAGAAGCAGTAGCCAGTTATGGATCGTCTAGAGTCCACACAGGTTGCCTAGCATCACTAAAAACGTGAATTTGAGTAGTACAATTTTTGGAAAAAAACAAGTCTTTTCTTGGACAACTTTTGAAATAGCGGAGAACCTTGATGATCGCATTGTGATGAGCTTTAGTGGGGTTTGACATAAACTGACTCAATTGTTGCGTAGCAAAGACTATGTCAGGTCTAGTGCTAGTAAGGTAAATCAAGCGACCAACCAACCTCTAGTATGACAGCGAATCAGGAAGAAGATCAGAGGAATCAGCGTGGAGTCGGAAGAGTGCTATCCATAGGTGTAGAGGAGCGCTTGCAAGCAAGCATCCCAGAATCCTTGAGAAGGTCAAGACAATGTTTTCTTTGGCATAGTGAAATCCCTTGTGCTGAATGGGCAACTTCGATACCTAAAAAGTACTTTAATGTGTCGAGATCCTTAATGTGAAAATTGAAATGCAAAATCCTCTTGATGTTGGTGATTTCACAAGGAGAATTACCAATTAAAACAATGTCATCAACATATATAATGAGGGCAATGAATTCAGAATGATGATTCTTAATGAAAAGGTTGTGATCAACATAAGCATGTTTAAGGATGACAATTAAACTCATACCCGTGGGGACCGATCCGTCCCCACCCCGAGTTTGACGGGAAAAAATCGAGTTGATTGGGAGCGGGGGCGGGTTCAGGTTTTCCCCCGCTCTAAAAAGTAGGGGCGGGGATGGGTAATGCAATCCCCACCCCGACCTCGTCTCCGTCCCGCCTCGACTTTATATTTAAATTTAAAATATTAATATTTTAATAGTATTTTCGTTTCTTTTTCTATTACATATAAGGTCATTTTTTATATTTTATCATTTTTCTTTTTTTCTATCCACTTTTTAATTTTTTTTATCTTTTATATTAATTAGTTTATTACATTATTCTTTTTCTATTGTCTTTCAGTTTTTCATATTCCTTAATCTCTCTAATCAATTTTTTTTATCTTTATCTTTTTCTAAATATATTATAATATTATTTTATTTATAATTTATATTTATTAGATTTTATTATGTTTTTGAATCTTATTATTCTTATTTGTCATATATCAAATTTTATCTTAATAAAATAATTGTATTTTAAATGATTAAAAAAAATTGATAATTTAAACTTTTATTACTTCAAATTAATTAAATAAGATTTAACTTATTAAATATTTTGTCATAAATTATATATTTCATATTTTAAAATAACAACTTAAAAATAAATTAACTTATACGTGTAATCAAATATTTAAATATAATATAATATAATATAATAATAATAATAATATAAGTATTCAAATGTTTGAATACAATGTTATAATAATAATAATATTATAAATATTCTATATATATATATATATATATAAAATAATTAAATATTTTTTTTTCATACATATTTTAATATAAATATTTCTTTTATAAATATTTATTTATATATAAAAAATAAATAGTAAAATTAAATTATTATAAATATAATTATCTTTTTAAAAATAATATAGATCGGGGATCGGGACGAAACGGGAAACCCGAAACCCAGCGAGGACAAGAATGGGGACTTAATTTTTAACCACGCGAGAGATCGGGGACGAGGACGTGGACGGTTAAAAAATTCGGGAGCGGGATCGGGAGGCAAAACCCGCCTCCGCCCCGTTGCCATGCCTACATGTTGATAGCCATAAGTCAAGAGAAGGGAGGATAATTTCTCATACCACTTTATGCTTGTTTGTTTCAGACCATAAAGAGATTTGCAAAGTTTGCAACTCTGAGAGGAGTTGAATCCAGACAGTCCAGGCGGTATCATCATATAAACATCTTCAGACAGGTCTCCGTGTAGAAATATGTTACTCACATTTAATTGTTGAAGGGTCTAGTGATTAATTGAAGCTAGAGCAAGCACCACACGAATTGTGGGCATTTTAACCACAGGAGAGAAAGTCTCAAAGTTATCCACACCTTCAATTTGAGAGTACCCCTTCGCAACAAGACGCGATTTGTACTATTCGATGCTGCCATCAGTTAATCTCTTGATTTTGTATACTCATTTGCAGCCAATGAGACAAACACGAGAAGGGGTTTGAACAATATCCCAAGTCTAGTTCATCTTTAAGGCCTCAATTTCATGACTCATGGCTTCTCACCAACATGAATGTTGAGCGGCTTTGTGAAAGCTGGTGGGCTCAGACTCAGAGGACAGAGACATGATGTAACGATGATGAGAGGGAGAAATCCTGTCATATGTGATGGAGGATTGTATAGGAAAAGAGTACGTTAAAGTTGATTGAACGGTTTTTAGAGGTGGAAGATCGCACTTGTAATCGGAGAGGTAAGAGGGTGGTTGGCTTGGTCAATTTGAACGACGAGGTAGAGGAGGGTTATTAGGTGGTGGCAAATTGGGAGATGAGGGAGAGGAATTTGGTGTCTTTGGGTGCATGAGGAGAGGCGAGATGGTATTTGGAGAAGAGGGAGGAAGCGGGTTTGTTCATTGGAGATGATGGATCCGTCTAGTTGAGTGAGAGTGGTGAGGTTAGGAGATGTGTCTTGGGCTATGGGTGGTGCTGGTATGGTAACCATTTGTGGGCTTATGGTTATAATGTGTGGGCTGTCTTTGTGAAAGGGAAATTGCATTTCATGAAACAGGACATTTCTGGAAATAAAAATTTCTTTGTTGCTTAAATCAAGAACAATATACCCTTTTATTCCATTTTCATTACCCAAAAAGGCTCCCTTTCGAGATTTAGCATCAA